AAGTGACACACAACGCGAGTTATGCTCGATTTTTTGCCGATTTTTGACACACCACGCCAAAAAGGTTGCCCATCACTGTGTTAGGCTGTCCCAGAGTCCCCTGGGATGAAGACACAAACATCAAGCAGTTCAGTTATATCCTGCCACTAACAGGGCTATATAGATGTGCCCTGCAATAAAGATCTAATAATAACAGCCTAAACAAATGTCAACTAAGCTTTTTAATAGCATCCACACCCATTCATTCCAGGTCATCAGGACCTGATCAGTGTCACTTTATTTCACAATTTATGAATTTATTTCACAACTTCTCCTGAGCAATTGGCATTCTGCTCTTTGGGGAAACCCATCGCCCATATCCATCCCAAGTCATTTGTGCAAATAGAACGGAACCAATTATGGGTAATCCTTGATGTATGACCACAACTGAGCCCAACATTTCTGTTGCTAAGTGAGACATTTGTTAAGTGACTTTTGCTCCATTTTATGACTTTTCTTGCCACAGTTGTTAAGTGAATCACTGCAGGTGTTAAGTTAGCTACATAGTTGAGAAATGAAACTAGCTTCCCCGTTGATTTTATTTGTCAGAAGGTGGCAAAAGGTGGATTACGTGACCCCGGGAAACTGCCACCATCATAAATATGAGGGTTGCCAAGTGTCATGCGAATTTGGATCATATGACCACGGGGATGCTGCAAAGGTCATAAGCGTGAAAAATGGTCCTACGTTTTTTCAGTGCAGTTGTGAGCAATCACTAAACGAATTGGTAAGTCAAGGACTACTGTAGTTCCTGTACACCAATACATTTTGGGACAGGTAGATTTGAAATCATTTGTGGAACCTGAAAAGTTGGTAAGAAGATCTTTCTGATTATTGTGACCTGCTACTCTTCTTTTGGGACGTGATGGCTCAGTGGCTAAGACACTGAGCTTGTCAATCAGAAAGGTCGGCAGTTCGAATCCCTAATGCCGCATAATGGAGTGAGCTCCTGTTACTTGTCCCAGCTTCTGCCAACCTAGAAGTTCAAAAGCATGTAAAAATGCAAGTAGAAAAATAGGAACCACCTTTGGTGGGAAAGTAACAGAGTTCCATGCATCTTTGGCATTTAGGCATGCCGGCCACATGACCACAGAGACATCTTCGGACAGCGCTGGCTCTCCGGCTTTGAAACAGATGAGCACTGCCCCCTACAGTCAGGAACAACTAGCACATATGTGTGAGGGGAACCTTTACCTTTACCTTACCCTTCTTTCTCACAGGTCCTGATGACCAATGTCTTTCATTATTGCGTCATTGTGCCCCCCATGGTGTTTTCCTTCAGTGTTGTCGGTGTCATTGCCGATAACATCCTGACCAAGTCAGTCCCTGTTTCTGACACAGGTAAGGCTCGCTCTTTTCTCTTTCTGATTAATGTTTCCTTTTGGATGTGCTACTTGGTTTTGGTCCACTGCTTTCCAAAAATGAGCATTGGCAACAGTCTGGTACATCATGCTCTCTCTGCCTAGGAACCTTTTAGAGCTCTGCAGGAAGCAATGCCAAGTTCCAAAGTCTCTGCAGCTCTCACATAATTGGACACAGAAGAAAAGGGTCATCTTACTGGAATTGCATATCTGCCAAGCCGGTGAAAACTAGTTAGAATCAAAAGAGCTGGAGTTACCAAAAAATGCCTGCAAGGAAGCCAGTGACCCATATTACTTAATGACCCAGTTGTTAACGAAGAAGTAAAATCATGCAGCATTTCCTGAGATTAATTTCCTAGTGAATGTTCTTTCTGCATGGCTTTTTTAATGCCTGGATGACTTTGGATGATATGTGACCCTATCTGCAATTCAAGACAGATCCCATCCCACTCCACCCCATCACACAGCCAAGCAACTCCCCAACTTACACACTCTTTTCTCAACTGGTAGCTCCAATCAGAAGTCCTTCAGAACAGCCATTGAAATTATATGTGGGATGATGATGGCGGTAATCATGTATATGGGCCACACATGGAAAGGTTAATTCTCAAAAGCTTTTGATGTCTTAGATGCTTCCTCTCCAAGGAATCCCTAACCGACACACAAGAATCACATTCTACCCCCCAAAGTTGCTCAAATATTCTGGCGTTGCAGACCAGCCGCGGAGGGGGGATGATTTCCAGTGGTGGGATTCAAAAATGTTTACTACCGATTCTGTGGGCTTGGTTTGATGGGTGTGGCAGGGGAAAGTTACTGCAAAATCCCCATTTCCTCCCAATCAGCTGGGACTCAGGAGGCAGAGAATAGATGGGGGTGAGACCAGTCAGAGGTGGTATTTACCGGTTCTCCGAACTACTCAAAATTTCCGCTACCAGTTCTCCAGAACTGGTCAGAACTGCTGAATACCACCTTTGATGAGTCCCCGCAAACAGCGGACAAGTGGGTATGCGAGCATATCTCCATTAGTGCGAGCAGCGAGTGTGTGTGCCTACTACTTGTGCAAATGGAGCGCAGGTGCATGTGTTTGCCCATTGGTTGCGCAAATGGGAATGCACGTTCACTTCCATGGCCCGGTTCTGAAGGGCTCAAGGCCCGGGAGTGGGCTGTGGCCCGGGGTTGGGGACCCCTGTTCTAGCATTTAAAATCTCCCTAGCTGTTCCCTAGGAAACAATGGTTTTTATGATGATTGTCTGTAATAATTTTCTAGTTGATAAACTATCCAGAGAAACTAAATAAGAATTTAAACTTCATTATCTAAGTAAATATCGGGAAGGGCCTCACTTCTCTGAATCCAATTTTAACAAAAACACAGCTGAAATTAAGTTTGATATTGCTAGTCACAGTATTTATGGCCTGGACATTCTCTGCACTCTCTCATTATTGGGTTCTGGCCAAACCTTTTGAAATGGAGGGTGTTGGGGAAGTTGAAAGCAGCAGCTGCAACTGGTCCAGACTGTTTCTCAAAAGAGCTTTTGTCAGGGAGACGGAGCCTGCTCAGCTTGCTTCCTTGGCCCAGAGGCAACCTGAATCACATAAGGAAGCCAGTTCAGCGGCTTATCCTGAGTCTGATTTGCGTAGATGATTATGAGTTGACAACTGAGAAGGACTGCTTACGTCGGCTTAAAAGCAGCAGAAAACTAGGAACAGGGCTTAGGAGCAGAAACAGGATTTCAGGACTTAAAGGAATAGAAGAAAGGGTGCCTGTGTGCCTGGATGCTCATACATATTGCTCCCCGCCCCCCAAAAAAGTCTGTGAGTTCCCAGCTCATCCCCCATGTGTTATGGATATATGTGTCAAACTTTACAGCAGGAGGTGGCTGGTACTTTGGGGTATTAGATAGGAAATGACAAGTCACTGGGTAAAACATGTTTGGAATTTGTGCTATATTTAAATTTGAGGATTTGAACTAAAGCACAGAAGAGCCTTGAACAAAAGCTTGTAGCTAGCATAGTTCTGATCCTTTCAGCTCTAAAAATAAATGATTAATTCTATCAGGCAAACAAGTGCTGGCCTTCCCAAAAAAGTAAACTAGGGTCAGCGTGTGCCAATGGACAAAATATATTAAACATTTAGGCTATTTTTACTAAATCCATACCTAGCAATTACTGCAGTGCAAGTGACTCCCAAGCTAACACAATTATTTAAAAAAGCTTCAACACCCATTTTTGGCCCGGGGTGGAACTGCATGTTACCTCAGTTACCCGCAGATTTCCTCTATCACACCCTTTACCATTCCCTGTCGGTGGAAAGCATCCCATTAAATGACTGGTCCTTTTAATGAACTCTTGCTGTGCAATTATTTTCATTCTTGTTTTGCTGTCAAGCAGGTGGTAGGCTTCCAGCTAAGAAAATTTCCAGATAATTTAAGAAACATAATAAGAAAAGTACATCAAATAGATCTGTATAGGCAATACTCAAATCAAGTGAAACTCATCATAATAATGCATAATTAGCATATAAAGCATAGTTTCACTGACCTAGAGATGCAGGGATGAAGCTGCAGCCCAGTCTTCTATATATTTCTCCTTTTCTAACTCTGGATACAAGAAATATGAAACTTTTGCTTTCAGTAAGTGAATCATAATTCTGAGTTATATCCAAATGTGGGGCACCAATCATTATAACAAACCAGAAAGTAAAACCATAATCACATGATATCTATCTATCTATCTATCTATCTATCTATCTATCTATCTATCTATCTATCTATCTATCTATCTATCTACCTACCTACCTACCTACCTACCTACCTACCTACCTACCTATCTTTTTATTATAAGATATCCAGGGTTTTAAAAGCCCACAAAATTAAAGCAACATTTAGCCACCTTTGCACAAGATGTTCTTAGCAATCATGTCACCTAAAATGGGGCCAGCATTAGAATTGTCTTGTTCACAGAATTCTGTCAAGGAACCATTGGAGCAATTAATGTGTTGGGGAAATATCAAAAGAGTCAACTAGTCAGGTTGTCAAGTGGTAAATTTTAACCAGTGCACAAGATTAATTTAGCTCCCACAATGAACTGTGTTATGGGAAGCCAACCTGTTGACCCATATTGCTTGCCTGGTCATCTGAAAAAAGAGGTGGAGGGTCAGGGGCTGAGAAAACAGACCTTTCTCTTACAGATCCCACTACCAAGATCTGATGGCACAGAACATACATCCCAAACACTGATTGGCTATAATGGTCAAGCCTCACCTGCTACTTCCTGCCTCATTCTGTAGGAAAAGGCTAGTGATGGCATTATTGTTGTTTGCACAGTCAGATTGGATTTGGCATCTTGATCGACCTATCAAGTCCTTCCCAAGGATCTGGGTGGGCAGATGTTGTTGTTTGATGGTGCTAAAGGTATCGTTGCAGGATATAAGTTGTTCCAAGTAAAGCTGTCTTTTGAAATAGATTGATTTTGTCAATGCTGATGGTGTTTAAGTGGTGTTACAGTTATTATAGTATATATGCAGACTCAAGGAGTATGGCCTTTTGTAATTGACAGGTGGAAATTTTGTCAGTCCATATTTCCTAGGTGCTGTCCAGTATTTTTTGGGTATGGCACCCAAACTGGTTTATTTTAAATTTATTGCCCACCAATCCAGAGTATTCTACTCTGGGTAGTATACAAAACTACAATACTCTTTGGGCATATGAGGTCTCTGGGATTCCAGGCAATTCTGGGAATGTTTGCAAATATTATGTTTCCAAAGTGCTTAGTGTGGGATTGGTTGACTAGAGGAGTGGCTGATTGGATCAAGCATGTTCTAGGAACAGAGCCCATTTATACTCAGGGTGCATGTATTTAATTCTTCAGACACTGATCTTTTTAATCCATTGGAGCTAGAGGAGATCACAAAATGAATTTTGATCTATGCTGTCTGATTTTTCCATTGTTTCTCATAGGTGCCATGCTTGGAATCAGTGCTTCAGTTACTCCACTGATACGGACATTTGGCCCAACAGTAGGAGGATTTCTATATAGACAATTTGGGGTTTCCTCCTTTGGCTATTTACAGCTAATGGTGAATGTACCTCTGTTTTTCTATCTCTTGAAGAAGAAGATCCCTCAAAAAGAAGAGAAAACTCAGTGACTAATTCCATGTATGTTGTTGGCATAAAGAAGGCTCACGTGGAAAGCTTATTTTCAGTTATTTGGGGTTGTTAATATTATATTTTAAAGGAAATAATTTATATCATCATAAAGGAATATTTGCATAATTTATTGGGTAGGAATTTCCAAAGGTAAGAAAACTAGTGTTGGACCCAGCAAAAGCCCACTGAGATTTTAACCCTTAATTTGCTGTTGCCAGAGGTGCTTTCAAGCGCAGCTAAGAAACCAGCCAAAAGAACAGCAGTGTTTTTCTAGACGTATTCTACAATTTTTGGTGTTAAGAGCCAGAAGGATCCCTTGTTCCAGGCAGCAGACAAGTAGGTTGTCACATTGCAGCCCCTACATGCATTTGTCACAAGGTTATAGCATTTTTCTAGCTAAAAATGGCTGTGGCTGCCATTGTTCTCCTCTCCAAAAATGGCTATGACTACCATTGTTTCCTTTCCTGGCATTTTCATTTACGTTTTCTTCTATTAATTTTGCCGCCACAGAAAAGCAGCTGTAGTGCCTGCAGAATCCTGGTTCAACCATGACCTTTCTCATGGTGAGGCGTTGCGGACAAGATTACCTACTAATACTGTATTTTTATTATTTACAACTTATATAATACCAGAATCACACCTTAAAATGCAATAGTACTAAACCATTGTTTAAAACGTCTGGGAAAATACTTTTTTAAAAAAAATAATAACTTTAGAATGCTGTACTTTGGAATATAGTAGACTACTATTCCAATGGTTATTACAGATTTTAGACAGTTGAATTTTGGCTAGAGAAAGTACCAAGAAAAGGAAATATTTACTTGTGCACACAATTGCACATTCTCATCAACATAACAGAATAGATGTAACATGTAGCATGTGACTGGCTATCTTAATACAAAAAACAGGAAATCACAGCTACATAGAGCTACATATAAAATGCCTTTTATTTCCTATCTAGAAAATATTGCTGTATTCTGCAGCATAATCCCCCCCTTTTTTTACTCCTAGTGATAGTTGATGAGACAACTTATATTATTACATTGTAATAGAAGCCCAAATGGTAATTTCTATTGGATAATGCTAGAATTAACAATATAAGACAAGCTTAAAGACATATTGATTTCAGGATTAAGTATTTGCTCCATAATTAATTAAGTAGAGTACATGTCTCACCCAAGTTACAATTAAAAGTTCACTAGAGTGAAGCAATGAGTTTACACATAATTGTAAGCCATGATTTAAGAAATCATGATGAATAAGTCTAACTTATGGCCTTATGGGTTTACTTATTACATTAAGGCTTAGCAAGTTGTGTGAATCTGGCCTGTGTGTACACATCTCCTGTTGTCTCTATAAATTCCCCTTTCCATTCTACAACCATCTGCAATGCAGAGATACTGGCCTACTTACATGTTTGAAGGAAGGATGTTTTTAAAAATGTTTATAAAGTACTTTCAACCTCAAAAGGCTTTGTGAACATAGATGCTATTATTGGAGGCCTTGAGTTCACTCCAGGCCTATCCCTCCTTGCCTGAATGTTACAAATTATGTATTCAAATTGCCTCTCTATAACACAAGCTGATGCTTCCTCTTGCTTACCAGAGCTAAACTTGGAGGAGTATTTGAAAAGGAAGAAACTGCTTCTGGGCAGATACAATGCCAGCTGGTGGTTACAGGTTGTCTGAGCACTACTTGAAAAGCAAGATCTGTTCAAAGAGAGCATGAATTAGAAAGTTATGAGGCCCGCCTTGCAACTCTGTTGTCTGTGTGGCTGGGTTAAGAAAAGCCAGTTGGCCTCACTCATGCGCCATTCGCCTTCTTGCACTCCGCCATCCCTGCTAGGACTACTCAACTTGATTGTTCGGTGAGGGAGGGGGAAACGGAGTTCCTCCAGCTTGAAGTATTGGGGGACTTCAGCCTTCTTCTCTTAGCAAGAGGCCTGGCGTGGCTCAGAACTTCAGGGCTGCCATGACAATCATTTATTTATTTATGAATCCAATTTATATGGCTACCATTAATACAAGAAATTCTGGGTGGCAAGCAAGATAAACAACCACCACCCCCCACCCAAAAAAATCCCACTACTTAGCTCACTAAAATCACGAAACCACTAATCATATATAAAGCCTGGGGAAAGAGCAAAGTCTTCACAAACTTCTGAAAGGTCCACATTAGAGGGACTGTCCATATTTCAGGAGGAAAACTGTTCCAGACAGCAGGCACCTTAACAGAAAACCACATGTCCAGAAACCCACCAACTGATACCTTTTTTATTGATGGTACCAGGAACCTGCCCGCTCTGCCAGATCTGATGGGGCAAGCAGGAACCACTAGAACAAAGTAGTCCCACAAGTAACCTGGCTCCCTGCCATGAAGGGTTTTGAAAGTGATGACCAGCGTTGGAACACCTAACGAGAGCCAGTGCAGCTCACACAACAGTGACCTTACATGACTGCCCACCAATTGTACATGCCATTAAATCAGAGGTGGGTTTCTGCCGATTTGCCCAGGATCAGTCGAACCGGTAGTGGCAGCGGTGGGAGGCTCCACCCACCCACCCGTGAACGAGTGCACAAGTGAACCGGTAGTAAAATAAATTGAAACCCACCTCTGCATTAAATCCTGGACCATCTGAATAGATTTGATGCAACGTATTGAGGGTCCGGTATCTACAGTCAAATCAAGCAAAGATTTCTTGAGCAAGGAGTGCATTACACCCTCCTTCAGACCAGCAGTACTATGCACGGTCTATAAACCTGTCTTCAATGTTTCTTGGAAAGGTTGTGGAGAAAATGGATGTCCTATGGCTGCAAAGTTCTTAGAGGACTCTTAGCAGTCAAGGTCCCCTTTGGAAAATCAGGGTCAGAGGAGCACAATCTTTCTGGTCCTCTTCATGTTTTTCAGTGCCCTTCAAACAGGGCATCCTTCTGGACTTAACTTCTGCATGATACCACTGAGGGAAGTCATTCATCAGCAAAGCGCTGATGGTATGCACTTATACATCTTCTCTCCTGGCCAAACAGGCAGTGCAATGACAGAGCTGATCCAATTCTGGAGGCTGTCAGGACACTAGATAGAGAGAGACAGAGTCCAATTGAATCCCTCCCATATGGCATGGCTTTGGATTTGTTGATGTAAAGAGTCCATTTTACACCCATTCAGAGGATTGCAATCGTTTGTGGGCAGATTCAGTGTTTACCGTCACTCATGCTCTTGTCATCTCCTGGTTGGATTCCTAAAACGTGGGTGGTCTTGAAGAACATTTGGAAGATACAGTAAGTACGGAATACAGCAGTCCAGGCAGTTAGGTGTGCGTCTTAATATACTGAGATGACCCTGCTGCTTCAGGAACTGTAGTGGTTCCCAGTTGGTTTCCTAGTAGGATCTAAGACACGAGTTACCATGCTCAGATTCCATGTTCATTCCACACCTTGGTTATGAAAAAGTCAATTCCATCCAGGTCTCATCCCTACAGGATTGTTTCCTAAAGGAGCCACAGCAGCAGGTGTACTTAATAGCTGCCTCCACTCTAGGGAACTCTTCCCTTGCAGAAATCAGGGCAGCCTCACCCTGCTTAGGTCTGTTGAAGACTATGTAAGAGAAGAGTGTTCTGCTTTTTTTTACATTTATGTGTTTGGGGTTTTGAGAATGTGTTTACATGCACATGTACACACACACAAACATTATATGTGGCCTTTGGGGTGGGTAGCAAACAAGCAAGGTAAGTCCAGTAAATAATACAAATAAAAATAGGTTCAAAGCATTCTGATCAAGCTATGTAGTTAGTTATAAAAAGGTTAATGTTTAATATTATTAAGGGTCTGGGTTTAAAAAACTATGTGACAAAATACATGAACCACAAATAAACCTTCCTAAAGGATCACTATATCCAATATTATTTTCCCCTGAATAATTCTCATAAAATGCACAGGTAGTCCTCGACTTACTACAGTTCATTTAGTGACAATTCAAAGTTACAACAGCACTGATTTATGAACAAGTTTCACTTAACACTGTTGTAGCATCCCTATCGTCACGGGATCAAAATTCAGATGTTTGGCAACTGACTCATATTTATGACAGTTGCAGTGTCCTTGGGTTATGTGATCACCTTTTGCGACCTTCTGACAAAGCAAAGTCAATAGGGAAGCCAGATTGACCGAACAACTGTATTACTAACGTAACAGCAGTCATTCGCTTAACAACTATTGCAAGAAAGGTCACAAAGTGGGGCAAAATCCATTTAACAACTGTCTCAGTAGCAAAAATGTTGGGTTCAGTTGTGGTGGTGAAGTTGCAGACTACCACATTTCTCCAAACTTAATATGAAAGAAAATTGTTAACTGAATACTTAAATGGCCTTTACCATGGGGTAATTCTTACATAACAATGTATGTGGATCTTTTAAGTGGATGCAAAAGATGGCACAAATATTTACCTAGTCATGCTTCCCTCAGAAGTATTGGGCACATCTTCCCTCACCCAGCATGGTTAATTTGATGTTCACTTCAGGCATCAGGCAGTCAAGTACATGTCTGGGAAATAAGCATCCTTTTATTCTGGAACCTACAGCACCTTTCTCCACATACTGGTGTATCATTACTCAATGCCACAGGGAGATGGGTTGCTATTCAAATGGTTTAATTTCAAAACCAGTGAATTTAGGAAGGACACTAATAATTCAAATTTGGAAGGAAATTAAATGTATAGAGCCACTCAACCAAAGCCAAAGTTAATAATATAACAAAAGATGGGAAGGACAAAGCTATATGTTTTCACTTCTTTCTTGAAAAAGTATGTTGGAGAATTTTGTGCATCTCTTACAACTCATAAGCTAGGCAGGTGATGAACACACAATCCTTAGTTCAAAATACCTGCCCATTGTATATGCTCCTGATATGTGATTTGATTCAAAAACTAAAACCAGGAACTTTTTTCAAGTGAAGTATGTAGAATCTAACTGCAAGGCATTACCTATATAATGCATGTTTATGTTATACATGCTGGACTAAGTAGACTAAAAATATTGGGAAGAAATAAT